GCGGCGTCAGGCCTCCTCTCCTACAGGGGGGGAAGGAAAGGATCTGAGGACAAGAAGCCCAGGAACGCTGAAGCCTCATAGGAGAGAAAAGGCCAGAGCAGGGTTTTCAAGCATGAGAAGGAGCTTTCTTTCCAATTGGAGGATCTTGAGAATGGGCCGTCTGAGCCCAGAAGAGTCATGTTCAAAGACAGTCACAACTTCTGGTTCGACCCATGGCACAGAACTTGTATCAAACTAGAGCTTCACCGAATAAAACTGAACCAAATACATAAAACCACCGTTAAATATATGGCACTAGAGAGCCAGCGATGAGTAGGCTTGAGAGCTGACATTCTCAACAGAAGCAAAGCCACTGAAGGGGTGTCACAGTCACCAGTTTCTTCCCCGAGGATGTTTTCCTATGCACACTGCAGGGGAATAAATTCCAAGCAGAATGCAGCCGTTTTAGCTAAAGAGACAAGATGTCAGGGCGTGGGCCACCAAAGTGACTGTGACTTTAGGGGGCAAATTTCTGGAGAAGTCAGAACAGCAAAGATCTTTTTTCAGTTATTTTCAGACATTATTTTCCAGTTGCTGACTGACTCCTAAACTGCATATCGATGATGGCAGGACTCCAAGTAACCCGGGAGAAAATGACATGAGACACAGGGGACATAGTGAAAAGGTCTATCAAGTGTATAAGAGAGACCCAGGAGAAGAGAGAAGGGGACAGAAGCGATGTTTGAAGAAACTTGACCAAGGATTTGAAACCACAGAGGAAATTACAAAGATTCTCAGCTACAAAAAAAACCACAACATTTTCAGCAAATGGCGAACAGTTCAGAAAATCACACACCCTGAGTGTGGCCCAGGGTGGTGTGACCGAGTGAAAAATTGACCTCTCTGCCTCCATACTGTATTTGTCTCCTTTGCTGCCTTAACCTTTGGGCCAAAAGGAAAAGGGCTTCTGTTCAGCCCTGCAGCCCTGCATGTAGGCTTGTTTAGCATCAGAAGAAATTTTGGAGGCCTGGGAAAAAAGGGAACCTGTCAGGCAGGGTCCCTGGAAAAAATCAAAAGGATTTTTTTTGCATATAGCTCCTTACCTGAAGCATGCCTCCTCCAGGAGATAGGGAAATATGTATGAAAATGATAATTGCCTTGTCAAGGAGTTTGGGGGACATGGTGACCAGACCTAAGTTGGCAAGAGTCAGCTAACCAAGGACACAGCATCTCAGCTCTCCACAGACCCTCGCTGGCGCCCAGAGGTCTGCAGCCTTCTGTCACCTCCTAACCTGTGTCCTGCTCCCCCTTCCCTAGCAGAACAGAAGCCTGCAGTCAACCCTGAGCTGAGCTGGGGCTTCAGGACACGAGCCTGCCATCTCAGTCTGTTGGCTTTCTGAATGAAGTTGCTCTCCTTGCCCCACCACATTGTCTTTCGACTTATTGGCAGGTTATGCTGCGAGTAGTATGAACTTGGACTCTGAAGAGTGGGAAATCAGAAGGTAGAGATGGAGACTCAGCATGATCAGGCCAAGGAGTTTGGGCCTGTGCAGTGCAAAGAGCCCCGGGACACTGTGGTGGAGATGTGAGGATGGGTAGAGATGGTGGAGGGAGGGAGGGTGGAGCACGGAAGCAATGAGACTACGTAGGAGATCACTGCCCAAAATGAGAGGTCAGCATCTGCAATCCATTATCACTCACTGTGTCCACAGATATGTGGTGAGCACCTACTATGTGCAGACACTGGGATGGGCACTGGGGATACTTTCTCCCACATGTATTTTTAGGGCCATCCTGGTGCCACAATAATAATTCACAGATAGTAAACTGGGGGAAGCTTTCAACAGTTTCTTGATCCAGGCCGTAATTAAACTCCTAGCCTGGGGGCCCTTCAGTGACAATACGAGTCTAAATACCAGCCTCAACCCTTCATGCCTGAGCCCATCTGGGAGAGGGGTTGCTCCTGGGTGCTGTAAGATGACACCTAAATGATTATCCCCAATTCATCTTTTGTGGGCCTTTGTCCCTATCTTATCAGTGGAGGAATAAGGGAGGTTTGTAGGAACTCAGGCATTAGCACTTTGTCAGGGTATAAACTTCCAATCTCGAGTGTGTGTTTTAGAAGATAACAAGGCTTGTGGCTGGGTCCATCAGCTGGACATGCCAGTGCAGTAGTTAAATAATTTAGCTGAAGCTGTTTACCCCATGTGCCTTTTTTCAAATGTGCTCTAGGAGAAAGGGCAGTGGGCAGTGATTCTGTAAGGCCAGCAGAATATGGATCAGGCTGCTGCAAGCCCCATGGCAGTTCATTTTTCCAAATCCTGAATGCTTCAGGCTTGTGAGACTTCTTGACATGATGAGTCACAATCTAAACTGTTCCCTCAGGCCTCATGTCACAACAGGCAGAATCTCTAAAAGGCATTCTCAGAAAACGGTCCTGTCAGTGTAGGAAGCCCAACACTCACCTCCCTCCCCAGTCCTGGGGCAGCTGATAACTGGCGACTCAAATGCTTTCCCGCCCGTTACCCCCCTCTTGGACTTCATTCAACAAGTATGGACTGTGTGCTGCTGGAACCCATTCACTGCCCTACGACACCAGGAAATGCTATGCACCAAGTCATACACTCTCTCACCCCTCAGGCTTACGTCCTAGATGGGAAGACACATGTTCACAAAGGTACATAAAAATACAAGCAACTATAGATGGTGCCACACACATGGTACAGTCCAGCAGGCGTGGGGTGGGGGGGCTACTGTGCTGGAGGTTGTAAGATAAATTCTCGCCGGAATAAGCAGGCAAAGAGAGGCAACAAAGGGCCAGGTAATTTATTTAAATACCCCCGGGTGAGGTTCTGTGGCCTTCTTGTCACAGGCCAGAGAAGTCACACCAGGTTGGGGAGGCGGGGAGCTTATAAGGGGTTAGGAGGGGGAGGAGTGGGCAAGCTGTCCTAGGGGGCGTGGAGAGGTATGTTTGGCTAAAGGTGACATAATAGACAACTAGAAACTTTTTTCTTTCCAAGAGGGAGGAGGCTGACATCCGGGTCCCAGTTGGCACATCAGGATGAAATTCAGGGAGAGCTGCCCCCTTTCCATATACAGCACGGACTTTGGGGTCTGGTCTGTTCTCCCCCTATGGCATCTCTCTGTTCTGTTTGCATGTCCTTGTTTTTCCTTCCTCCAGCCTAACAGACGTGATTTAGACTTTGTGGAGCAGGTGCTACCTGAGCGGGTCTTTAAGGGCCGGAGCACGTGCAAGGGGAGGAAAAAGAGCATTTTGATAGCAAAGCCTGGCAGGAATGTCTTTGACTCATTCAGGGAACTTTGCCTTACATTCAGGCACAAAGTTAGAGTCTGCGGGATTGTGGATAAAACTAAGGTTCCTGTGATCAAGATTCTCACCTGGCCCTGTTTGGCTGGCTCACTACACACGTGCGGTCAATGCTCGTTATTGACTCTATACAAAGGGCTCCGCCTGTGCTCTGGGAGACAGGGTGGTTCGGCTGCAAGGCTGCAGGAGAGCAGAGGTTGGAGTGGTGGCAGCGCCGAGGACAGAGGCCCAGAGGACGGCTGTGCGGGTAGAGAGGCCCAGAGGCAGAGTCCACCTTGCTGAATGCAGACTCACCCTTGAGTGTATGGGATTTTAGTGATTGACCTGCCACCTTGGAAATAAAGTTGGGTATAACCCTTTCACTCCAAGAATGTTCTACTATCATTTATTTGGTCATGTTGAATCCATACTGAACTTGCCTGGGGCCGAAACTCACTGGCAAGCCAGGGATAGACATCAGGATGAAAATACACCACCTTTGAAACAGCTCTGTATTGCGGGCAACTACCGGGAAATGACCCCGCCCACCACTTTTCAAATCTATCCCAGCTGAGCGCATGCGTCTCACAGGACGCTTGCGCCGTGTTGTCATAGAGGCGCGGAGCTAGATCGACGGCCTTGCAGGCAGACATTTTGGATTCTGGCAGAGACGTTGGAAACCGCTGGGACTACTGCCAAGTCAGGCTGCACAGTCCAAGAGCCTGAATCAAAAGAGCTCCTGTGGGAGCGACAAAATCAAGTGGCGGAGGGGATCCTTGATGCTTCCCTTTAAGAACAAGCTTTAAGAGAGTTGCCCACAGCCCTGCCCTCATCTGAGATGGCGGCTCTGCGGCCGCTCTAGCCAGCGCCTCTCGGATTCCCGGAGGGGACGAACGTCTCGCCCCTGGCCCTGGGGGGCTGCGGCGCTGGCCTCGGGGAGCGCAGGTTGTGCTAGAGCCCCTCGTGGCCTTGGGTACGTGGACGGTGAACCCCTTCCCTCCTGTACCGGGTTTCTCAGCGCCTCCCCCTGCCGCACCCTCGGGCCTCCCTGCCGCCGCTGTCGGAAGCGCCCGGGGGCAGGCCCTCGGGCCGGCTGTAACCGCGCCTCGGGCCGGACCATGCCCAGGAAGCTGCAGCTGCTGCCCCCGCTCTCCGCGTCCTCGGCTTTCCGCGCTCCGCGAGCCCGCCCCGCTACCCGCCCGGCTATGAACGCCGCCCGCACCGGCTACCGAGTCTTCTCGGCCAACTCCACGGCCGCCTGCACCGAGCTGGCCAAGCGCATCACCGAGTAAGGAGTGGGGGCCCTCCCGGGAGGCCGTCGGCGCCCCTCTCCCTGCCCACCCCGCCAGCACATCCGGGCGAGGGCGACTTTGGCCTCTTCGCCTTGCACTTGAGGGAGGCGCAGAGTCCTGCCGTGTCAGGGCTGGACGAACCCTTGGGGGCGACTCGAGACCCCCCCACCCCCCACCCAAATTCTGCAGCCGAGAAGCGCTCCGCACTCCTGTTCTCTCCCCACCCACCTCCTGTTGCTCGGTCCGCCTTTCGTCTCCCCATTCCTACTTCCCAGGGCGCCGGCGAGGTTTCAGCGACCCCCGGAGTGAGCTCCCTGGGGAGGGAGGCTCAGGGTTTGGCTCCCTTTCCCACTGTCGGAGTTGACCTGCGAGCCTGGCCATCGCCGTCCTCAAGTCTCCTCAGTGAGGCCGAGGTCCCGACGGGGCGGCGGGAGGGCTTTGCAAGTGGAAGGCCCCCGAGGCGCAAGATGCAGCCCCAGAAGCAGAGGTGCAGGGAGGGCAGTGAGCACGAGGCAGGCCCAGGGGAGCAGGTTCATCGGAGCCGGTGATGGAGATGGTAGTTCTAACCCGTGTTTTTTTGTAAGTCAGTTTTAGATTAGGTCAGTCATTAGAAGTCTTTGCCTTTCCACGTCTTTTGAACCTAGGAAGCTTGTGGTTTCAAGGGGTCTTTGGGGTCTGACAACTCTGAAATGCCTTCCCAGTCTTGTCATTTACTAGCTCGGTGACACTGGGCAAAAACTCGATTTTCCTGAACTTCATTGGGAGATTAAGGATGAGTCTATCCATCGGGGCAAGAACATGGTGAGCATGAACAAAATAATTAAATCAAGCGTCTAGCAGAACAGAGGCTCATAGTGGCCCTCTGAAAAATACCTACTTACCAAGTGGGTTGTTTTCTACCTGGCTTCTTTGGAGAATTCCAGAGCCCTAACATACAGGAAGAAGAGCCGTATGAGACCTTTCCAGATAAACTTGTTACACATATAAGGCATAAAATGAATAGCTTCTCCTTTAACACTTGGCGTCATTTTTACATTTTACTTTTTTAAAGGTATCATTGATATACGCTCTTATGAAGGTTTCACATGAGAAACAATGTGGTTACCACATTCACCCATATTATCGAGTCCCCCACCCAGATTTTTACATTTTAAGTAACTCTTAGAGTTCCTCTGTGAAGTTTTCAGATTTGATAAATAATTGCATGAATATATTTTAACTTCTAGATGGAAATATAGAAGGGGAAACCAAAGTCATTTTTCTCAATACTGTAATTCCTGCTTTCACTTGGAGTTTTAAATGAGAAGAGTGTAAAAACAATGCTTTTTGAGTCTACTACCTAGTTTCTACTTCTGATCTCTTATTTTTTGTCTTTCTTTTTGAGGCCAACTAAAATGCTAACTTGAAATATAAAGCTTGTGTTTGTTTATTTTGGGTCCGATTTACCACAGTGACCCTGCTGAGAGAAGACAGAGGGATGAGGGCCCATTTGAAAGGTCAATGGTTTTGCTTTTTTGTTTTTTACATTAAGTTCTTCCCTTCCTTGTTCCAGAAGGGTTTTAAGTTACTGTAAAAAAAAATTGTTAATAATTGTTACCTGTTTATATGTTGAGTTTCTGAGTAAGAATTTTGATTTGAAAAACGGTTTTACCATTTAACAGAGTTTGAAGATCTTTAGATTCAGTGATACCTGAAGTTGTGCTATTTTATTTCCATGATTCCTTTTAGATCTACACTTCAAGCAGGGATTTTCAAACTTTTTTGATTATGTACTTTAATCAGTAAAAATTTAGGTGCATTACATTCTCAGGATGTGTGTAAGTTACATGGGTGTTACTTACCCCCAGTATCCTTCATCCAGCTTCCACACTCAGTAACTTTTTATTATTCTTGTTGCACCTACTCCACCTGTCTCTTTTGTTTATTTTTTGCTGGAGTATTTTAACATAAAATTGATGATTTTAGCCATTTTTAAGTGCACAATTCAGTGGAATCAAGAACATTCACAGTATTGTGTAAGGATCACCACTACTTCCAGAACTTTTTCATCTTCCCAGACAGAAACTACATGCACATTAAACTCTCCCAGCGCCTGGTAACTTCTATTCTACTTTCTGTGTCTGAATTTGCCTTTTCTGGATACTTCCTATAAATGCAATCATGCAGTGATTGTCTTTTTATGTCTGATTTATTTTACTTAGAATGATTTTTTTTCAAGGTTTGTACATGTTTTACCATGTATCAGGATTTCATTCCTTTTTAAGGCTGAATGATATTGTATTTCTGGCTGGAGTATTTTTAAACAGATTCCATCCTTACATTATATCATTTCACTCATAAAAATGGTAGTGCCAACTGATAAAAACTAAGAAAAACTAACCACAACACCTTTAATTCCTTAATATCATCTGGTATCTAGTCCTTGTTCACATTTCCCTGATTACCTCAAAAATGGCTTTTTATGCATGGTTTGCTCTAATCAGGATCCAAAACAAGATTCACATTATATTTAAATCTATGGCATTGGAATCTATATGCTTTTGATAATTGAGCACTTACCTCTGGCTTGTGTTTTTGGGGATTATGGCTAGTAACCAAGTGTTCGTTAGGGGATGGTTTTCCAAGACAATTATTATTCAAAAACAATGAAGTAGACATTAAACTGGTTGTGGACTCCAGTAAAGCAGTGTATTACAAAACGGTTTAGCACTTGAAACTGCTTGTGGATTTTTAGTTCTTAATTAATTAAACTTTCTAAAATTTTTTTTAAAGAATGCCAGTCTAGTTATTTCAGTCTTTTTATTAAATATGCATATGAACTGGAGTTTTTTTACAAAGAGCATTCTTAATTGTCTTTTCTCTCCCCCCCATAGGCGTCTTGGTGCTGAATTGGGGAAATCTGCCGTATATCAAGAGACCAATGGAGGTAAGTTAAAATTATTTCCTAAATATCCTTTGTTTCCAAACTATAATCAGCTGGCATGTTTTTAAAAGGCAAATGTTGCTCATGTGTAACATGAACATTTTTCTCTTTAACATTAATTGTAAGTCATTCTATACTTACCTTCAGATCTTGACTTCTTTTTCTCCTCAAATTTTCCATTCTTCTTTATCCAAGACAATGCAAATATCCTCTTGCTTTGGAATGAAAAAAGGAGAGATGTAGAGAATAGTTTTTTTTCTTACATTGGCCTCTATTTGATAAATACTTTTTACATTTCTCTGTCTCATTAGTCATCAAGTGGAATCAAGAGCAATTTGGTACTAGGTAGTAATGGCTTATTAAAAAAACTCTCTTTGAGTTCATGTCTAAATTTTTCTCTCAAGTCTCTTATAGTCTCTGACCCTGGGTTGATAATCTGTTTCTGCTGCCTTCTGGGTTTCTGTGGGGAACTGTAACATGAAAGGATAATGCTTGAAGGCACTTTGTTAATAATGGCCAGTGTCCTAGGAATGCTGCATTGTCATCTAGTGGGCCATATACTTCAGATTATAATGCCCTTGTTCAGTGGGGAGACAAAAGTCAGTATAAAATAATTTGGAATTATTTTTGCAAAGTTGAAAGCCTGGATTCATGATTCTGATGCTGCTTTTTCTCTTTCTAATGGTATAAGTAGTTTGAGGAGATAGTTACTAAGACATTGTAAGTTCGGGGAGAGGAAATCCCAAGGCAAAATACCTCTCAAAACCAAAATCAGTCAAAGGGAGAAATAAAGTTTAAAATGTGTTTATTGCTCACAAACTGCAGTCCTGGGCCATCTTTCTCCTCTGCTCTGGAAGAAGCCAAAACCGGCCCTCCCCCTCACCTCTCCAGTACTGATAAGCCCTCCTTGCCCAGGTAATTATCCATTGATACAGAGACAAACTTCTTTCTACCCCTGAGGAATGATGCAAATGCACTAACTTCTCTCCACCTCTGAACACATGTTGATATGCAGATGTACTAAAGCCAGGCGAGATATTCTGGAAATGTTACAATTTTACCCGCAGGCCACCCCTCCAGAAATCTCGGATTTACAATTTACTTGTTCCCCCTCTTCCGACCAGTCTAATAACATACAATAGCAACAGCAAAAAGATCTTGGTAATCCTCAAGCCAGAGGATTCAGCCTTTGCAGATTAAGTAAATGTACTTAACAGCACAATCTCTCACTAAGCACAAAATATGTTCCTACATTTGTTTACTCATTCCTAACAACCATGCTACATTGCTCACAAAACTTTTACCAAGCATTAGACAAAGTCATGCCTCTCTGTAAGCATTTTTTTCTTGACAAGAGCAACACAATCATGATAATTCTCAAGCCAGATGATTCAGCTAGGTTCAAAGTCCCATGCAGATCAAGTCCACAGCTCATCCATTCCAGCCATCACTCAGCAGCTGCAGCCAGGGGACGCTTCCAGGACACAAGGACTGCAGAAGCAAATAATCATGATTGTGGGGGGCCAATTTGCTGTTACTCCAGGAATATGCAGGAGACCAGCTTCCGGGCCTTTTCCCAAGGTGCCAGAAGAGCCAGCCATTGCCAGTCCATGTGTCAAAATGTCCAGGGCCACCTCCGTTTTACTCCTAATTGCTGCACCCATCCTTATAACACATGTCTAATAAAGTGGGTGCCTTGATTGCTCTCAATCACCTGTGGCCGGCCATAGGATGCAGAGAGACGCTCTAGGCCCCTCTTGGTGGTTTGCTGATCTGCACAACGTGCAGGGCACTCCTTCCAGAATTGGCTGACTTCTTCAAAGGTCAATGGCAAGCCACACTGACGGGCTACAGCCCACATTATCTTTTGCCCCCTGTGTACCAAACACTGATGGAGCCTTTGGGCTTTCCTTTTAGCCAGCGCACCTGGGCCAATGCATCTGCTTCATTATTCCCTGGGGATGCCAAAGGCAAATGGCCAGTCACATGATATACAGTAGGTATCAGTGCCACACCACTCCATGGCCTTTGGGTCCAGTCTCTCACCCACCTCGCGATGGGTTAGGTGGTTATTACCTTGGTTGGAGCTTTTCCAGCGATGGGCTCCATAGCCAGCAAGGCGTGGTACACAGCAGCCAGTTCCCTCTCTATTAAGATGTACCAGACCTCTGCTTGTTTCCATAGTTGTGATCAGGATACAGCAGGCAGCAGGAGCAGCAGCCTTAGGCTTGACCCATGGCCTGGGGTCAGCACGGCCAGCAGCAGTGGTGGTGCCTCCACAACCACACAAGTGTAGACACATGTCCCTCAGTGCAAGCGCCACTTCTCCCCATCATTTCTTGGGGCAGCCCTCCCAACACTCACACCCATTATAACAGATTTCAGGTTCAGAGGAATTCTGCTGACTCCGCCAGGTATAAGTCCAGGGAGAGGAAATCCTGGGGCAAAATACCTCTAAAAACCAAAATCAGTCAAAGGGAGAAATAAAGTTTAAAACCCTTTTATTGCTCACAAACTGCACTACTGGGCTGTCTGTCTCCTCTGCTCTGGAAGAAGCCAAAAACTGGCCTTCCCCTCACTTGCCCAGGTAATTACCCATTGATGTGGAAATGAACTGCTCTCCACCCCTGAGGAATGATGCAAGTGCACTAAAGCCATACTTTTTTCCACCCCTGAACACCTATTGATATGCAGATGTACTAAATCCAGGTGAGATATTCTGGAAATGTTACAGTTTTATCCACAGACTTAATGATGTTTGGGGACCTAAAAAAGGAAAGTAGGAAAGTATTCGAATGCCTGGCTTATTTCATTGAGCATAATACCCTCTAGCTCCATCCATGTTGCTGCAAATGGTAGGATTTGTTTTCTTCTTATGGCTGAATAATATTCCATTGTGTATATGTACCACCTCTTTATCCATTCATCTACTGATGGACACTTAGGTTGCTTCCATTTCTTGGCTATTGTAAATAGTGCTGTGATAAACATAGGGGTGCATCTATCTTTTTCAAACTGGGCTGCTGCATTCTTAGGGTAAATTCCTAGGAGTGGAATTCCTGGGTCAAATGGTATTTTTACTTTTAGTTTTTTGAGGAACCTCTATACTGCTTTCCACAATGGTTGAACTAGTTTACATTCCCACCAGCAGTGTAGGAGGGTTTCCCGTTCTCCACAAGCTCACCAACATTTGTTGTTGTTTGTCTTCTGGATGGTGGTGATCCTTACTGGTGTGAGGTGATATCTCATTGTGGTTTTAATTTACATTTCTCTGATGATTAGCAATGTGGAGCATTTTTTCATGTGCCTGTTGGCCATCTTAATTTCTTCTTCGGAGAAGTGTCTGTTCAGCTCTTCTGCCAATTTTTTAATTGGCTTATTAGCTTTTTGTTTGTTGAGGTGCATGAGCTCTTTATATATTTTGGATGTCAACCCCTTATCATATATGTCATTTATGAACATATTCTCCCATACTGTAGGATGTCTTTTTGTTCTACTAATGGTATCCTTTGCTGTACAGAAACTTTTTAGTTTGATGTAGTCCCACTTGGTCATTTTTGCTTTTGTTTCCCTTGCCCAGGGAGATATGTTCATGAAGAAGTTGCTCATGTTTATGTCCAAGAGATTTTTGCCTATATTTTTTTCTAAGAGTTTTATGGTTTCATGACTTACATTCAGGTCTTTGATCCGTTTTGAGTTTACTTTTGTGTACAGGGTTAGACAATAATCCAGTTTCATTCTCTTACATGTAGCTGTCCAGTTTTGCCAACACCAGCTGTTGAAGAGGCTGTCATTTCCCCCTTGTATATCCATGGCTCCTTTATTGTATATTAATTGACCATATATGCTTGAGTTTATATCTGGACTCTATTCTATTCCACTGGTCTATGGGTCTGTTCTTGTGCCAGTACCAAACTGTCTTGATTACTGTTGCTTTGTAGTAGAGCTTGCAGTCAGGGAGCGTAATTCTGCCTGCTTTATTCTTCCTTCTCAGGATTGTTTTGGCTATTTGGTGTCTTTTGTCATTCCATATGAATTTTAGAACTATTTGCTCTAGTTCATTGAAGAATGCTGTAGGTATTTTGATAGGGATTGCATTGAATCTGTAGATTGCTTTAGGCAGGATGGCCATTTTGACAATATTCTTCTTAGACAAGAGCATGGGATGAATTTCCATTTATTAGTGTCCTCTTTAATTTCTATCATGAGTGTCTTGTAGTTTTCAGGGTATGGGTCTTATACTTTCTTGGTTAGGTTTATTCCTAGGTACTTCATTCCTTTTGATGCAATTGTGAACAGAATTGTTTTCCTGATTTCTCTTTCTGCTAGTTCATTGTTAGTGTTTAGGAATGCAACAGATTTCTGTGTATTAATTTTGTATCCTGCAACTTTGCTGAATTCACATATTAGTTCTAGTCATTTTGGAGTGGAATCTTTAGGGTTTTTTATGTATAATATCATGTCATCTGCAAACAGGGACAGTTTGACTTCTTCCTTGCCTATCTGGATGCCTTTTATTTCTTTGTGTTGTCTGATTGTCGTGGCTAGGACCTCCAGAACTATGTTGAGTAAAAGTGGGGAGAGTGGGCATCCTTGTCTTGTTCCTGATCTTAAAGGAATAGCTTTTAGCTTCTCGCTGTTAAGTATAATGTTGGCTGTGGGTTTGTCATATATGGCCTTTATTATGTTGAGGTACTTGCCCTCTATACCCATTTTGTTGAGAGTTTTTATCATGAATGGATGTTGAATTTTGTCAAATGCTTTTTCAGCATCTATGGAGATGATCATGTGGTTTTTGTCCTTCTTTTTGTTGATGTAGTGGATGATGTTGATAGATTTTCAAATGTTGTACCATCCTTGCATGCCTTGGATGAATCCCACTTGATCATGATGGATGATCTTTTTGATGTATTTTTGAATTTAGTTTGCTAATATTTTGTTGAGTATTTTTGCATCTATATTCATCAGGGATATTGGTCTGTTAATTTTCTTTTTTTGTGGTGTCTTTGCCTGGTTTTGGTATTAGATGGTTTTGGTGATGTTGGCCTCGTAGAATGAGTTTGGGAGTATTCCCTTCTCTTCTACTTTTTGGAAGACTTTAAGGAGGATGGGTATTAGGTCTTCACTAAATGTTTGATAAAATTCAGCAGTAAAACCTTCTGGGCCAGGAGTTTTGTTCTTATGTAGTTTTTTGATTACTAATTCAATTTCTTTGCTCGTAATTGGTCTATTCAGATTTTCTGTTTCTTTCTGGGTCAGCCTTGGAAGGTTGTATTTTTCTAGAAAGTTGTCCATTTCTTCTAAGTTATCCAGTTTGTTAGCATATAATTTTTCATAGTATTCTCTCATAATTCTTTGTAGTTCTTTGGTGTCTGTAGTGATTTTTCCTTTCTCATTTCTGATTCTGTTTATGTGTGTAGACTTTTTTTCTTGATAAGTCTGGCTAAGGGTTTATCTATTTTGTTTATTTTCTCTAAGAACCAGCTCCTGCTTTCATTCTTTCTATTGTTTTATTCTTCTCAATTTTATTTATTTCTGCTTTAATCTTTATTATGTCTCTCCTTCTACTGACTTTGGGCCTCATTTGTTCTTCCTTTTCTAGTTTCACTAAATGTGAGTTTAGACTGTTCATTTGGGATTCTTCTTCTTTCCTGAGGTAGGCCTAATTTGCAATATATTTCCCTCTTAGCACGGCCTTCGCTTCTTCCCACAGATTTTGTGTTGAATCTTTGTTGTCATTTGTCTCCATATATTGCTTAATCTCTGTTTTTATTTGGTCATTGATCCATTGATTATTTAGGAGCATGTTATTAAGCCTCTGTGTGTTTATGGGTTTTTTCATTTTCTTTGTGTAATTTATTTCTAGTTTCATACCTTTGTGATCTGAGAAGCTGGTTGGTACAATTTCAGTCTTGTTGAATTTACTGAGGTTCTTTTTGTGGCCTAGTATATGATCTATTCTTGAAAATGTTCCATGTGCACTTGAGAAGAATGTGTATCCTGTTGCTTTTGGATGGAGAGTTCTGTAGATGTCTGTTAGGTCCATCTGTTCTAATATGTTGTTCAGTGCCTCTGTCTCTTTACTTATTTTTTGTCTGGTTGATCTGTCCTTTGGAGTGAGTGGTGTGTTGAAGTCTCCTAAAATGAATGCGTTGCATTCTATTTCCCCCTTTAATTCTGTTAGTATTTGTTTCACATATGTAAGGGATCCTGTGTTGGGTGCATAGATATTTATAACAGTTATGTCCTCTTGTTGGACTGACCGCATTATCATTATGTAACGTCCTTCTTTGTCTCTTGTTACTTTCTTTGTTTTGAAGTCTGTTTTGTCTGATGCAAGTACCTGCAACTCCTGCTTTTTTCTCCCTGTTAGTTGCATGAAATATCTTTTTCCATCCTTTTACTTTCAGTCTGTGTATGTTTTTGTGTTTGAAGTGAGTCTCTTGTAGGTAGCATATAGATGGGTCTTGTTTTTTTTATCCATTCAGTGACTCTATGTCTTTTGATTGGTGCATTCAGACCATTTACATTTAGGGTGATTATCGATAGGTATATTCTTATTGCCATTGCAGGCTTTAGATTTGTGGTTACCAAGGTTCAAGGGTAATTCCCTTACTCTCTAACAGTCTAATTTAACTCACTTTGTGTACTATTACAAACACAACCTAAAGGTTCTCTCTCTTTTTTTTTTTTCCTCCTTTTTCTTCCTCCTCCATTCTTTGTATTTTATGAGTCATATTCTGTACTCTTTGTCTATCCCTTGGGTGACATCTATTTAGCCTTAGGAACACTTCCATCTATAGGAGTCCCTCCAAAATGCATTGTAGAGGTGGTTTTGTGGGAGATAAATTCTCTCAACTTTTTCTTATCTGAAAATTGTTTAATCCCTCCTTCAGATTTAAATGATAACCTTGTCGGGTATAGTATTCTTGGTTCAAGGCCCTTCTGCTTCATTGCATTAAATATATCTTGCCACTCCCTTCTGGCCTGTAAGGTTTCTGTTGAGAAGTCTGATGATAGCCTGATGGGGTTTCCTTTATATGTGATCTTTTTTCTCTCTCTAGCTGCTTTAAAAGTCTGTCTTTATCTTTGATCTTTTCCATTTTAATTATTATATGTCTTGATGTTTTCTTCCTTGGGTCCCTTGTGTTGGGAGATCTGTGCACCTCCATGGCTTGAGAGACCATCTCCTTCCCCAGATTGGGGTAGTTTTCAGCAATTACCTCCTCAATGACACTTTCTATCCCTTTTTCTCTCTCTTCTTCTTCTGGTACCCCTATAATACAAATATTGTTCTGTTTGGATTCATCACACAGTTCTCTCAATATTCTTTCATTCTTAGAGATTCTTTTTTCTCTTTGTGTCTCAGCTTCTTTGTATTCCTCTTCTCTAATTTCTATTCCATTTACCATCTCTTCTACTACATCTAATCTGCCTTTAAGTCCCTCCATTGTATGTTTCATTTCAGATATGGAATTTCTTGATGATTGAATCTCTGACTTAAATTCGTTCCTGAGTTCTTGAATATTTTTCTGTACCTCCATAAGCATGTTTATAATTTTTATTTTGAACTCTCTTTCAGGCAGATTGGTGAGTTCAGTTTCATTTGACCCTTTTTCTCAGGTTTGTGAGATTTTGGTCTGAACCATGTTCTTTTGATATTTCATATCTCTGTGTGGTGCCCACTAGTGCCCAGAAGCTCCAATCTCTGGAGCTGCTCAGCCCCTAGAGTGAGGTTGGGGGTTGTAGGGGAGCAGAGCTCCTGCCTCCATTTTAAGTCTCCCTAGTCTATTCTCTTCAGCTCCTCCAGGATATTTCCAAAATGCAAATATTTTTGACTTACCGCATCTTAAAATCCTATAGGCCAGAATTGAGTCTCCTCAGCAACCAAGTGGGACCGTTTGGGATCCAAGATCAGCCCACCACACCTGCCTCATCATCCATCATGTCCGTCAGCACATCTTGTGTGCCCTGATTCAGGAATACATCTTACATGTGACCATTTCTCACTGCTCCTACAGCTGCTGCTCGGGTCCAGCCCACCATCTGTCCCTTGCCTGGACTCCTTCAAACACAGCCAGAGTGGTCTCCTCTGGTGCCAGTGTTGCTTTCCCAGTTTTCTTGACACAGTAACCAGTAATCTCAGCCCTTCCATCTTCAAATCCTCCAGTGGCTCCATCACCCTTGGTATATAATCCAGATTCCTGCACGGTCTGGGCCTCCTCTCTCCCTCTTTCACCTGGTTCTCAAGCAGATAAGGGACTGCCCCTGCCTGACACGCTGTGTCCCCACATCATTGCATGTCCCCATTCTCCCTTCCTCACTCTGTGCTCCAGCTTGCAGTGAGGCCATTGTTCCCGGCCCTGTCATTTTTTCTCCTTCATCACGCTGGTCTTCCTCTGGCATGTTAGCCTGGAGAGTTGGCCAGCCGCCGGCCCTGTACTGTCTCTTGGGTTGATCTTTGTCCCCTTAGTCAAGGTCCTCCTCTTTGGGACCCCAGCACAGGGGAGAGGAGGCCTCAGCATATATTAAAAGAATACTAAGGATGCTTACTTTTGGCCTCTTTATTTGCTATAGACTTTTTCCCAAGCATGTTCTCTTTATTTTGGTGATGTATTTTTCTTTTTTGGACTTTGAGATTTCATGTAGACCTGTTTGTTACTTTTGTCTGTTCTTGGCTTATATTCCCCTTGGCCTGACTTTTTTTTTAATATATGTATATGACATTGTGAGATCTATTAAGGATTTATTTTGATGCACTAAGTGAAGTATTAGATTCATCTTTACTTCCTCTAAATGCTGACTGATAATTGCAACATGAAGTGCTTTTCTTAAACTAGAGAACGTTTTTATTTTTCAGAAACAAGAGTTGAAATTAAAGAATCTGTTCGTGGCCAAGATATTTTCATTATACAGACAATACCCAGGTGAGAGTTAGCACTTCTTTATGAATCCCTTTTCCTCTAAAAATCTTAGTGATCTAATTCATTATCTTATAAATAACAATTAAGTTTTCTTTAAGTTGTAAATGTTCTTCATGTTAAACTAAATGCTTTCCAAAATATAGTTATAGTCTTTTGGAATTCCTACCCTGTTTGTCATACTGTGTTACTATCTGTTTGCTTGCTTATCTCCAAGGTTTAAGCTCTTCAAGGGCAAAATATCTTACTTCCCGAAGTACTGACCGTGGGCCAGTGTCTGCTCAACTCTGCTGAAAAGCTTTTTGTTGTTAAATGCAAGGTGTAGCGGCTGCTGATTCATGCTCATCAAGACGGTTTTTTGTCCTGCACTTTATTTTGCACAGTGGCCCATTTCCAGCCTGTCTCTATTGTGGATATCGTCTGCCACTCCTTTCCTTAGGGCATGAAGGCAGGCTCTGGAGGAATCTTGACCTACCTAAGTACAAGAGTTTCCATGTGGAATTGTCTCCTTCCTTTCCCTCAGAGACATATGTAGACTGTGTGTATCTTTGGAAAATGCAGACCATGTCTGATCAATTTGGATCCCCAAGACTGTATCAGTAAGAAGAATGGCACTCAGTACGGGCACTTTATATGTATCATTTTTAGTCCTTAAAACAAATCCTACATGGCAGCTCTTCTTAGCCTCAGTGACACCATGATTTATAATAAGAAATAATGTATCTGGTCTCTTTCCTGGCACAGAGCTCACAAAACCCTTGGGATTTCCGAAGTGCTACAAGCAATAAAGATGTCTTCTGTTATGTTTAGTAAGCCCCTCTTAACAACTCCTGAGTTTATAGTAATGAAGTCCCTCTGGAGAGCCCCTAGATAACCACAAGGTGGGGGCCAGTTGTCTAGGGAACCAACCAGGTGATTGGCAGGTTGGCACTCAGCCCTGCCCCCAGTGAGGGTGGGGTGGGTCAGGTGAATCACTTATCAGTAGCCAATACTATAGTGCTGCAGCCAGCATCCTGTGTACCTCATACTGCCCATTTCTGGTTGGAAGATTCCAATAAATGGAACTGCTGGGTGTAAGGATCCGCGTGTTTTTGTATTGGTAGAGATGGCTGCGCTGGTAGACATTTGTGATGTTTGGTGTTAGCAGATCCTTCTGTAGTGCCCTCTCCCGAGGGTACTCTGACTATGTTTCCTCCAGCAGCTTCGGCTTTGTGTTGGTGGCCTCCTCGTGATGGGAGTCTGTCTGCCCAGAGCTTTTGTTTGACACTGCTGCGTGGAAATGAGGAAGCCTGGGGGTCTTGCCTCGGAGTGAAATGCCTGTGGTGAGGGAGCTTTGACACCCCACGTGGCTGCTCCTTGGCTGCCTGCGCGGATCCTGGTCTGTGTTGTAGTGAATAGTAAGGAGGCACTGCCATCACTTTTCCCAAGTTACTGAGTTCCTTAGGGCATAGGAAAGAGCCACAGGTGACCCTAGGTCCTTGGCTTGGCCACCTTAGATTAGGGCAAGCCCTTTACTGGTTTATTTTGGGGTGGCAAAGAATAGAGCCTTGGCCTCTGTGGCCATAGATGGGCCAGTTTTGTCACTAATCCTCTAGGAAATACAGGGGTCTAAGCCCAAAGGCCTTATTGGTTAGTAAAGTCTCTTCACTCCACCCTAACTGAATTTATGATAGCAAAAGAATGTGTGTCATGTTAACAATTGTTTATCTTTAAGAAATCTTAACAGTAGATTACGCTCTGTGTCTTAACCTGGAATTTGAGCTCTTTTCCAGGGAGAGGGTTAACTTGGTCATGAGCAGTTGTGTGCCAGCACCAGAGCAGCTGGGCTCTTGTACCTGTTTCTGTTATACGTACACGTACTTGGGGATCATCCCTGAGATGGGGGAAGAGCTAAAAGGTTATGCCCTCCTCAGGGCAGAGGCGTCATTTTGTTGGGCCAGTTGGTGGGTTACAGGGTGCCTGAGCCATTGAGGAGCTGCCTTCCTTCCTGTGTGTAGGCCTCTGAGGTACAGCTGCTGAAGAGCCAGGCTGTTGATATGTTTTTCATTTTCATGATGAGTTAGGATAGTTGAGGTTTTGATGCCTAGTGTGAAAGTATATCTTTTTTGATACATTACTTAATCATAAGATTGACTTCAAAAGGCTGCATTTTGATAGTACAGTTTCCTATCAAGTATTCTCCTCCCTTTTATTATGATTTTGAGCAGTAGGGAAGAGATGATAGTAAGAGCTGACTTTGCAGCGGCTGGTATGGGGAGCTGGTGAAGTATGTGAAGCTACAGGGCTGCGGATGGGTTATCTATCTGCCCAGTCATCACCTCTGCTCTCTGCTCATCTGCCTTGTATGTTCTCTGAGATTAAACTGAGCCCGGTTGGCTTGCCTGTTCAGCGGGAAGCCAGTCTCCAAGACACAGTTTTGAGCAGAAACAGAATTTATTGCAAGGCTGCCAAGCAAGCAGACAGGAGGCAAGGCTCAAATCAGTCCACTCAGTGGTGGGGGAGAAGGGGGATTTAAGGCCCTTGGGCAAAGTTAGGTTGAGAATGGTTCAGAGTGTGGTGAGGTGTGGTTGGTTGCAGGTTGGGAAATTTCAGTTCTTCATTTCAGGTCTGGGCTGCAACAAGCAGCAGCTCCCTTTGCTTCAGATTATCTCACCTGATCCCTGAAGTTCTTCTTTCAGTTCTGTTCACTGAAGAATTTTTGTTCAAGACAGGGAAAAGGTTATTGATCACACAGGCTCAGGGTGGTTATGGGGGCTTAACCAGCTTGGGCTGTTCTTCCCTGGTTGAAGCTGGCCTCAGGGTCCTGCAAAATATCTTTGCCAAACAGCTTGTGACTTCTGTGTCAGAGACGTTATCTTAGAAAAAGCAGCACAGGCTTTTCAATTAAAAGGCCATTGGTTTCAGGCCAAATTAACCCTGTGGTGTACCCTTTCATAACCACAGATTTCCATATTTGGGCATGCATACAAATGCGTGTGCTTATGCATGTAGGGCAGAAAGACAACTTCATCTGTAATTTCCTTTTTGTTGTAACAAGTCCCTCCATATCCCCATTAGAACATAATCTTTATGAGAGTAGAGATTTTATTGATTTACTGCTTATCTTCAGCACCCAGAACAGTATCTGGCCTGCAGTAGGCACTTGATGACTTTTGGTTCAATGAATAAATGGATTTTGACCAGCGTTGCTAGCATATATAGTCCACAGATCCTGTGGAATGATTTAATGAGTATTACACAGTTTT